CCGCCTCAGCCTCCCAAAGTGCTGGGATTACAGGCATGAGCCATGGTGCCAGGCTGAGGAAGCTTATTTGAAAGATGCCAAAACAGGCTCAGAGAGGGAAGATATTTGAAGTCCTCGAAGCCCAGGCTACAGAGGAGGTGGAGATCAAAGGTGAATGCTGAAAAGGCCAATGCTCAAGAAGCCAGATCACTGCAGACTTTCACACCGCCCCCCGATCCCCCTTCAATGTGACCCACACAAAGCCTCCACCCTTCCCTCCAACACCAGAGCAGGTTCTGGGATGACTGCGCAGGAAATGCGCGTGGCGCTGTGATTAGGGTCCATCCAGAGAGGGCGCACGTGGAAAAGCCACCGTCCCCCTCCCCAGTAAAGAGGAATCTAAGGGACTGGAATGGGTCCTGGGCACACGAGGACCTGAAGGGACGTGCAGGGCACCCAAGGGTGGGACCCTTGAACATTCTGCGGCCTGAATGGCGAAGCTCAGGCACCCAGCCTCCTGCCAGTACTGTGGCTGCTGCTGACGGGGTGAGGGCGGTTGAGTGGGGGAGGAGGATGGGGGAGGGCAGAGAAGATGGGGTGGGATGTGGGAGGGAGAGGAGTTCTTCTTTAAGAAGACCACAGTGGGCACATGACCGTCCTGGCAGTGCCCACAGCAAGCAGGAGGCCGTGAATAGGCCAGCCCTCTGCACCTTTTCCTGTCCCTACCCCAGAACACCTTGAAGGGTGCTAGAGACCCAGGGAGGTAGGTCCGGCTCAGGAACCACCAGCCTTTGTAGCAACCCATGACAGCAGCCCAATCCTGGGCACTGTGAGACTGGGTGGTTTCCCCTCAACTTGCCCTGCATACCCCCGGCGGCCGGCCCAACCATCCCATTTCACAGATGTGGGCGCTGAGGCACGGAGAGGTCAGGAGATTCATCCACAGCACCTCGTGAGACTCGGAGCCGGCCCTGCTTCTCCTGTCCTCTGCCCTGCCGGCCAGCCTGCGACCCCAGCATCCGTCCCTCCTGTGCAGGTGATGACCACAGGCCCACCCAGAATCCCTGCAGCCTGGCGGGACTCTCGGGGTCTACTGGCCTCTGCTCAGCCCAAAGATCTGTTCTGAGCCCCTGCTTGGATCAGCCAAGCAAGAAGGAAGCAAAGCAGGACAGAGTCAGAAAACCACAGGTGTGAGGCCAGGCGTGGAGGCTCACACCTGTCATCCCAGCACTGTGGGAGTCCAAGGTGGGTGGATCCTTTGAGGTCAGGAGTTCAAGACTAGCCTGGCCAAGAGGGTGAAACTCCATCTCTACTAAATATACAAAACTTAGCCAGGCCTGGTGGTGCAGGTCTGTAATCCCAGCTATTCAGGAGGCTGAGGCAGGAGAGTCACTTGAACCTGGGAGGCAGAGGTTGCAGTGGCCAAGATCATGCCACTGTGGATCTCAAGTCCCTTCCCACAGCAGGAGGAAGGGACACAGCCACCCCCACTCCCAGCCCTTAAAGCTGCCTTCTCCCTGCTTCCTTCCAGTTTCTTCTGTTTCAGCCTGGCCCATGACCCCAGAACCCCAGGCCGGGATGGGCCCCTGGGCAGCAGGGGAAACATGCCTGGCACCAGGACATAATGACCCGTGTGGGGACACACCCAGCTGTCCCCAGACCTCCCTGAATGTCAGGTGGTTACTTCTTCATGCAAACCTTCTAACTTATCCACAATAGGTCTGTGCTACTTGAGTGGTTCTAAAAGGTTATTTAAAACAATAAAGACAAAACAAAAGGCACCCAAAGGTGTCCCTGCAGATGGCTCACAGGGGCCACTCTAAGGAGAGGGAGGCTGTACAGTCTGTGTAGCACGCGGCTGTGGAAGGCGGGCAGCGAGGGTCTGTGCGGAGGGAAGCCAGCCTCAGTGTGGAGCCTTCGGGGGCCTATCCGGTTACCACTGCCGAGTTTATCACTGTGGGGCCCCAGCCCCCTTCTGTGCCATTAGCAGGGCTCCAAGAAGCCCCCCTTGAAGCAATGCCCATGAGGCGGTGCCCAGCCTGCTGTTCCAGCTTCCTCCTGCCAGACGCCGCATACCCCACACCCAGACTTCGGATAGGCTCCTCTGAGCCCTCTTCTCTCTCGGCCTCAACCTGTCCCCTGACCCCTGTCCCAGGTCTTTGGCCTGCCTGGCCCAGCTGTAGCCAGAATCCCTACACCACGATATCTGATCAAGCTCCTCGGTGAGTCCTCGTCCTGCCCCGGCATCAGCCTGCCCAGTCATTCAGCAGGAACGCCCTGCCCTGGAGGCCTCCACTAACTCAGTTTCTACCCACAGAGCCCTCACCCTGCTTGCTGGTGGTAAAGCCTCACTTTTCCTTGCATTCAGGGTTGAGCCCCTCTCTCCAGAGTTGTGATCGTCCTGACACCTATTGCAAGAGTCCTGAATGAAGCCTTCCTGACTTCTTTGTTTGTTTGTTTGAGATGGAGTCTTGCTCTGTCGCCAGGCTGGAGTACAGTGGTCCAATCTCGGCTCACTGCAACCTCCACCTCCTGGGCTCACTCAAGTGAATCTCCCGCCTCAGCCTCCCAAGTAGCTGGGATTACAGGCGCCTGCCACCATGCCCAACTAATTTTTGTTTTTAGTAGAGACAAGGTTTCAACATGTTAGCCAGGATGATCTCAAACTCCTGGCCTCGTGATCCACCTGTCTTGGCCTCCCAAAATGCTGGGATTACAGGCAGGAGCCACTGCACCAAGCTGATGTTGCTTCTTTCAGGAAGTCGGCCCAGCTGGTCTGAGGCCTCGGGGCCTCCTCTACTCCCCTGCCCGCTTGTCCATCCCAGTAGAGTGGACCACGCTACACCATATGCGCCTCCCCCCCAGTTCCCACCGGAATGCAGGCTCCCGACACCCCTGTGCCCTGATGGCCCGCGTGAGGCCTGGCATGTAACGTGGGCCTGGCGCATGTTTGTCCGGTGAGCTGAATGAATAAACACACAAATTGCCAGGCAGGGGCGGAGGGAGCCAGAGCCCACATGTCTGACTCCTTCTTCCTGAGCCCCTTGGAACAGGGACCCCCAGAGACCCCAGCTGGGACCTAAGTGCTCTGTGGGCACAATAAGAAAGCCACTGATGCATGGCCAGGCACGGTGGCTCACGCCTGTAATTCCAGCACTTTCGGAGACAGAGGCGGGGGGATCACCTGAGGTCAGGAGTTCCAGACCAGCCTGGCCAACATGGCGAAACCCCGCCTCTACTAAACATACAAAAATTAGCTGGGCCTGGTGGTGTAGGTCTATAATCCCAGCTACTTAGGAGGCTGAGGCAGGAGAATCACTTGAACTCAGGAGACGGAGGTTGCAGGGAGCCGAGATCATGCCACTGCACTCCAGCCCAGGTGATAAAGTGAGTGAGACTCCATCTCGAAAGGAAAAGAAAAAAGAAAAGAAAGACAGTGATGAGCTTCCACCCTCTGTGTGTGGAGACCGGCCTAGAGAGGGAGACAGGCCGAAAGTCACACAGCAAGTCACCAGCAGAAACAGGGCGCAGACACAGGCTCCTGCCTCCCAGGCTCCCTGCTTCACCCGCCCCTCCGGCAAGCCAGGCTGCACCGCCCCCGTGTAAGCGCATGGGTAAAGCGACTGCTACCCAAACATTACGTAAGTCCCTGTTCATCATCAGA